AAAGGGGTTGCCTGATAGTGTATGCAGAGCCCGACTCTCGTTCCCGGGGATGTCCATAGCTGTGAAGGTGAGTGTCTCTCTCTCTGTTGCTGGGGGGAGTGTTGGTGGAAGGCTCTCCTGGGTGGGGGAGCAGGGGGTGTTGGTTCGGTATCAGGCTATTTCCGCTTGGCAGGCGTCTGATTTTTGTGTTGCCTAGGCAACAAAAAACCTAAAGACACCACTGGGTATATTCACACCAGATTAGGTTGGACTGCATTAGGCATGTTCTGTCCTTGCTAAACATTTCCCTGTGTATAACTTGACATGCAGCTAAACCCTCCTATTCTGCAATATTCCAGACTATGTAATCTTGAAGCTTTATTACCAAAACAGGGTGGGTGAAACTTTTAGCAAGAAACATTTAAGAAAAACATTTAATGTAAGAAAATACAGAAAAAACAATATATAGTTAGGCAATAGATGTCAGAAAGTCCAAGCCTACCAATGATGCTACCTTTAGGAGATGCAAAGAGATGCACGATTTAGGCCAACATGTGCTCTGATAGCTGGCTCCTTCTCTTTCAGTCTCTAAGATGGAGTCTGAGCTCCCAAGATGCATCTCTTTCCTTTCTCTCAGAATTATAGGAATTTTTATTAACTCTTATCTAAAGTCTTTAGTAAATGTATTACTACATCTAGTGGTCAAACTTGATATTGCAGCAGGACATCTTAATAAACATTCCTGCTGGAGGCAGAACAGGACAGCTATCCTAGTGCAGTTCCTCCACATGATAAGATAACATGTATTGGAGTGCCAGGTTCTCAGGTGGTGTGCATTGAAAAAAAAAGTACTGGACTCATGACTTTTTTTCCAATGCAGCACAGTGCAAGGTAATCCACTGCTTCACACTGGATGGCCAGCAATTGAACTTAATGAAATATCTCTGTGACATTTAAATAAATGCCACATAAATTGCCTTGACTATTGTAACTCCCTCCCTTTCAGTCTCTAAGATGGAGTCTGAGCTCCCAAGATGCATCTCTTTCCTTTCTCTCAGAATTATAGGAATTTTTATTAACTCTTATCTAAAGTCTTTAGTAAATGTATTACTACATCTAGTGGTCAAACTTGATATTGCAGCAGGACATCTTAATAAACATTCCTGCTGGAGGCAGAACAGGACAGCTATCCTAGTGCAGTTCCTCCACATGATAAGATAACATGTATTGGAGTGCCAGGTTCTCAGGTGGTGTGCATTGAAAAAAAAGTACTGGACTCATTACTTTTTTTCCAATGCAGCACAGTGCAAGGTAATCCACTGCTTCACACTGGATGGCCAGCAATTGAACTTAATGAAATATCTCTGTGACATTTAAATAAATGCCACATAAATTGCCTTGACTATTGTAACTCCCTCCTCATCGGCCTACCTAATCGCAGGCTATCCCCTCTTCAGTCTATCATGAATGCTGCTCCCAGACTCATCCACCTTTCTAATCGTTCTGTATCTACCACCCCTCTCTGACAATCCCTCTGCTGGCTTCCCATTGCCCAGCAAATAAAATTCAAAACATTAACAATAACGTATAAAGCCATTTATAACTCTGCCCCAAATTACATCACCGATCTTGTCTCCAAATATCACCCAAACCATACTCTGCGTTCCTCGCAAGACCTCCTACTCTATAGCTCCCTTGTCTCCTCCTCCCATGTTTGTCTCCAGGACTTCTCCAGAGCTTCCCCATCCTCTGGAACTCTATACCCCAATTTATCAGACTATCGCCTACTCTGCTCACTTTTAGGCAATCTCTGAAAACCTATCTCTTCAGGGAAGCCTATCCTGCCCTCAGCTAATAATGGAATCTTCTACTCTTCCAATCAGTCCATCCCCCACAGTTATTACCTTTTGTGCCACTAGCCCCTCCCTCCTAGATTGTAAGCTCCAAGGAGCAGGGCCCACCTATCCCTCTTGTATTGAACTGTATTGTTGCTGTATTGTCTCCCATTATATTGTAAAGCGCTGAGCAAAGTGTTGGCGCTATATAAATCCTGTATAATAATAATGTCCATTAAAAAAAAAGTGAACAGTGCAATTTGCCGAGGTTGGCGCATCACCACTGCAGTGATCTTGCTAGACCATACGGCACATCAGCCTCTGCGTTATAATACAGCGGTTGGTGTGAATTATCCCTGAAAAACTGATGATTTCACTTTCCTGTATTAAAACATAGCACAGAGTTGGAGATGGGCTTTAAATCAAGTTAAATACGGAGAAGTCTAATAAATAAATGATAGGATATGCTAAGTTCGGCACCCAGTTCATTGTAATAAATAAAGCTTGGCATTCTATTACAGTCTGCTCAAATTGTACTTACAGTGTTATTTTTTTTTTTTTTTTAGTCGCCATAAAACTAAATTGTCTGTTTTCACCATATGGTTCCCAGCAGTCAAAGGCTCTTGTCTGAGCATCTCTAACTACAGTTTATTTGTAGATGAGAAACAATTTTCAGAAGAGTTTAATGTAAGAGATATCCTACATACAAAATGTCTGCTTCAGCATGGACTGTAAAGGAGCATTTTAAAGAATTACACAACAACCATCTATCAAGCATGTTTGATATAAACCGTCAGGAAACGTGTGGATCTTCTGCCTTCTTCTGGCTTTTTTGTGTATAACATCTATTAGGAAACATCTATTTTGTCTTATAGGAAGACAGACACACAATGTAAAATATATTCGCACACTTCTGAAAAAGATATGGATTTGTACACAACATCATATTTGGAAACAATGGCCTTAAGGGGGGTCGGTATATTAAAGTCAAATAGGCTGTTCATTTTGCATGGGAATTTTCCCCAGAGCTTAATGAATGTGGTGAAATTTCACTTTGCATAGAATACCCAATCACAAGGAAAATAAAATAAATCAGAATTTTTGTGTACACGTGATAAGATAATGAAAGGCAGCAGGGCTTCACCTCATTCGCTAAGCACTGCGGAAAATTCCCCTGAGCCAGTTTATTGTCCTTTAGACTTTAGGGGGGTTTGGACTGTGACTAGTGGGAGTATTATTATTATTATTATACAGGATTTATGTAGCGCCAACAGTTTTGTTCAGCGCTTTACAATATAACGGGAGACAATACAGCAACAATACAGTTCAATACAAGAGGGTTAGGAGGGCCCTGCTCCTTGGAGCGTACAATCTAAGAGGGAGGGGCTAGTGGTACAAAAGGTAGTAACTGTGGGGGATGGACTGGTAGGAGGAATAGAAGATTCCATTATTAGCTGAGGGCAGGAGTAGTAATGCCCCAGCGTCAGTGGGGGTAAATAATGCCTCGACTTGGTGGTCAGTGGGAGTAAAAAAAAAACACAGCGCCTGTGGTCAGCAGAAGGAGGAATAGTGCCCCTTCATTAGTTTTAGCGAGAGGGATAGTCCCTCATCATTGGAATTGGTGGAAGGCATAGTGCCCCCTCATTGGTGTCAATGGGCGGAATAGCGTTCTATCATTAGCATCAGTGTGAACAATAGGGCCCCATCATTGGTATCAGTTGGAGGAACAGTACTCCATCTTTGGTGGCAGCAGGAGGAATAGTGTTCCATCAGTGGGATGAGCTATGGCCCATTGTTGGTGTCAGTGGGAAGAATACAGCCATATCTCTGCTGTCAGTGGAAGGAATGCTACCTCATCATTGGTATCAGTGGAAAGAATAATGCCCCATTGTTGGTGACAGTGGAAGGAATTATGACTGCTGGTGTTCACGGAAATTATGTTGCTTTATTGTTGGAGTCAGTGGGAGGTATTATGACTGGTGGTGTCCATGGAAGTTATGATGCCTTGGGATAAAAAGGCATACAAGTGAGCGCTAAGGGTGAGCTGCTGTAACACCGAAAGGCACTAAAAACCTTCTGAGACCAACTGATATAATAAGGTGCAGCGCTAAAATAATATAATCAATATAATGCAATCAATACTGAAATTATCCAACTTAATCTTGATGATATATAAAGTGCAGGAAGTGCCAATGTAAGTGACAAATCAATCAGCACAGGTAAATCAATAAAGTGACAACAGTGCAAATGCACATCAGTCAAAGTGAAAATGGTGCTTAAAAGTAATAAAGTCTGTTTATCAATATATATATATAAATAAAAGTGAAGCTTCAGACAGAAGTGATCCTCTGCGTGTCTTCTGGTGATAAAATAATAGAATAACACACTCACCAGATGCATAATTCCATCATGCATTTGAGAATAATTATATCTCAGTGGGCCAGCTGGATCCTCTTATGGACACCTCTGCCCTGTTATGGACTCCCCTCTGGGTCATCAATGGGATACAGCACCTTTCACCTCCTTTCACAGTGGGCTCTGTGGGTGGTAAGGCTCAACAAGAGCCCCAAGAAAGGATGCCAGAATAGTGTGATACTGCTTCAAAAGGGCCTCGGCGGCGTGACGTCAGGATACTGAAACTCCTCTCCTACGCGTTTCGTGCTCTAGCACATAGTCATAGGGGTTGCCCCTGCTGGTTCGGCGGCCATCTTTACCTTCAGCTTATGGTCAGTCTGTGTTTTACTTTCACTCCTGTTACTTACCTGTTATGGATCAATAAAACCCTTTTGAAGCAGTTTGTGTCCTTATGTGCAATCTTAACCTCCCTAGCGGTCTGATTATGTCCATATTTCTGTGCTGAAAGCGGTACATTTTTTTGCATGGAAATATGTATTTTTTTTTTATTGTAGGCCTGTAATTTTTAGGAATAACTCACTGAAATCTGTCCGAACAAGAGTCTAGTAAATATTCCCGGTAGGATAAAACTTGAAACACGAAATCATAAATTATAATTCAATAAATAATCATAAAAAATAATAATATGATAATAATAAATTTAATTCAATAATATAATCAAACCAAAACCACTGAAATTTGAAATATAGCGCCAAGTTCGCACATCGGTGAGCAAAGTCGCAGAATCGTTTTCAGTGTCTGATGATGAATTTCCGCACGAATCATTATCACTCAATTCTGTAAGTGGTTCTAATTCACTATCGCTGTTCTCTAGCCGGTCTAAAACTGCTTTTGACATAAAGAGACTCTTTTTGGACGCCATGGACTTTTCTAAGTTTCCAGGCAGAAAGAACAGTAAAAATGCAGGCAGGGCACAGGACAAAGCAGTAGGGACAAAATGTATGTGAAATGGTTTGAAACAGTAATGTTTTACTATATCATATTCATTTATTAGAAAATGACAGTTTCTAAAATTTTTAAATTTGCCGCAGGTTCCGGCCCCTGTTCGTCCCGTACGTCCCCGGCGCTCGCAGGGACCTGAACACGGAAGCTGGATGCTGGCATTGGCCGGGGGAGATGGCCGGGGACGCTGCAGGGGACGCATTGCGGGAGCGAAGAACAAGGTAAGCGCTGCAGGGAATCCCTGAGCAACGCCGCATGGTAAGCCCGAGTGTAGCTCGGGGTTACCACTTTTGGTACTGAAAGTTTACCCCGGGCTACACTCGGGAATACCACCAGGGAAGTTAAAGAGGTAGCAAACCGCAAAACAAAAATAATATAAGTAATATATGGCACCATACCAATTCTTAGATGTGGTGGCTGCATAAGTTACCTGTTTGAAAGCAGGTGAAAATGCATTCATTTCTTCAAAGAATCAAACTTCTTCTATGGTCTTTAACTCTTTATAGATGGATAACCCACTGACAAATTAGCATGCTCGGTAACTCAAATAAGCGTGATGCTGTGATCTCAGGAAGCAATCTGGGACACAACATCATCAGGGCAGAGCACCTGGATGCAAGGTTGTCCTATCTAAGTATATTAGAATGATTATCTTGGTGACGCTGACGGTGGAGTGATTTCTGGTGTCAAACATCTCAGACTCTGCTTTCCTCCTAGAATCTCAAAGCTGAATTCTTGGGAAGCCTTTAGGGAAGTTTAAATAGTGTGTTTGGACCATGCTGTTACAGCAGCAGGATGGGAACTTCCCGCCCCACTCCCAAAACAAAATTTGTTAGGCTGAGTGCTACTCAACCATTCATAGAGAGTATTTTACTCTATAAAGGAATATAAAACTTCCTCTGATTGCCTGAGGTGGTGGAATAATACCACAATCTCTGAATCAGTCATTACAAGCTTTGTATTCATTCAAAGAATACAAAGCCTCCTGTGAATGGCTGGGCAGCACTTTTTGTTCCGGGAGCGCTGTATACAGTATATAGCCAATTTATACAGCACACACAGCTAGGACTCTAGTAGTGAAGGTAGTGGTGGGCTGTCGGGCCTTCTCTGCTGGTCTAAACAACACTTTCTAAACTATCAGAATCACTGACATGTTTTAATATATTTTGCCATGAATGTGTTATTTCCCATAGCCTATCCTCTTCATTTCATAGTTTTTCTCTTGGTTCCGCTGCTTCCAGTAGTGTATGTTTTATATATTAGAGCTTTTATATTTCAGCCATGATAGCCATCATGTGTAACCAGGGTCAAGGAAATCTGCCTCGAGGCCTTCAAGTGCAGGCGCCTGTAACGTGCAATAGATGTCAATGAAACTGTTGCTATAAGCAATCAAATTTTGCTGGATTCATTCAAGTAGGATCAATGAAGGTCTGGGTGTGAAATGCAAGGCCCGCCACTGAGTCAAGGTAATAGTTTGTTTGGGTCAGCTTTTTCCAAATTAATGATTTAACGTTCATTAAAACCTGGAGATCAGCTTTAAAGGATACCGTATATACTCGAGTATAAGCTGAGTTTTTCAGCACATTTTTTGTGCTGAAAAACGGCCCTCTCGGCTTATACTCGAGTCAACGTCTGCAGATGTCTAGCAGGGGGCGCTGCTTCTAAAGCAGCAGTTCTCAACCTGTGGGTCGCGACCCCTTTGGGGGGGGTCGAACGACACTCTCACAGGGGTCGCCTAAGACCATCGGAAAACACATATTTCCGATTGCCTTAGGAACCGAGACACCGCTCCTCTATCCGTCTCCAGGTGTGGGCGGGATGACATGCCGTCCCTGTCATCTGGACACACCCCCGGGATCAATCCTCGCCGGTGATTGGCCGCTGGCACTGTAGCTCAGGAGAGGCACACAGGAGCCCAATCACCGGCGAGAAGGTGGAGCTTGGAGAGGAGGAGCCGAGCGGCACCGCGAAGATCAAGCGAGTGAAGAGGAGGAGAGCGGCCGGAGAAGGAAGACATCTGACCGGTAAGTGTGTACCATAGGAGAGGGAGGGAGCGAGCGAGCCCAGGCTGGAGCAGGGGTCCGCAAGGTAAGTATCATTCCTCCCCCCACTGACACCAACGATGGGGCACTATTCCTCCCCCCCACTGACACCAACGATGGGGCACTATTCCTCCCCCCACTGACACCAACGATGGGGCACTATTCCTCCCCCCACTGACACCAACGATGGGGCACTATTCCTCCCCCCCACTGACACCACCGGCTTATACTCGAGTCAATAGTTTTTCCCAGTTTTTTGTGGTAAAATTAGGTACCTCGGCTTATATTCGGGTCGGCTTATACTCGAGTATATACGGTAAATTCACCTTTTGTACAAAAATAAAAAAATACACATTTTTTTGCAGGTAAAAAATAGCATTTATTATTTTTGTCCAAAGGAGCCTGGAAAGCATTGCACCAGCGGTCAATAGATCGATGATGCCATGCAGGTCTCCTGCAGACCTGTCAGAATATCTGCTTGCCGTATGGTATGTATGAGCAAACAGATATACTGACAGGAAGCTTCAGTGAACTACCATGGCGCTCCATAGCGCTGTGGCAGTGCATTTTTAAATACAAGCCTACAGCCGCTAAGGCTGTCGGGACTTGCAGCTCAATTATTCATGGAAGTCCATGAATGAATGACGCGGCTGTGTGGGTGGAGCTCCGCATGGCCGCGCTGTTTTCAAATCTGACAGGTAGTACGGGGAAACTTCTCCTCGTATTATCTGTCAGAGGGAGGTGGGTGGCGGGTGCGACTGCAGCTATGGGAACATGTTACATGTTACACCCTAAAAACATGTGACATGTTCCCAAAGGTGAACTTATCCTTTAAAGCCCAATTTCAGTTTGGGTAAAATCCAAAGACATGCATTCCCCAAAAACTTAAAAAAGTAGCTCCAGCAGCTCTTCTCACCTCCTGTGCTGTCATTCAATGCACCTACAAATATATGCTGGTCACCTGGTGCGCTACTCAATTAAGACATAAATATAACCACAACAAATCAATTAAATATAAGTGTATGAGTCTGATAATCAAAATATTATCGGTGCAGTCCAATAGATTAAACAATCAACGTGATCAGTCCATATCTAGTCCAACAGTAATCAGCAAACCTAGGAGCAAACTATCGTGCTTCCACCAGCAAATAAATGCTTAGCCTCTTACCAGATGCATTGATCTCATTAACACGAGATCAATCTACGTCTGTGTGCCCTTTGGTCGGTACTAACCGTCCTGTCAGCCACAGATCCTCTCGTCCTCACCAATTGCTCGTCCTCACCAATTGCTCACAATTGGATAAAAGTTTCCATCAATGCAGGTACAACGTCCCTCTAAGAAAGGATTATAGAGGAGCTACAATAGTGCTATACCGTACAAAATATTTATTTAAAATCTGGACATATACTCACATAAAAAAGATTCAGAGCTCATATCAATCAGACGCAAGTTTTTGCATGCATATGACATCACCGGTAAAGCCCCATTGGGCATATATTTATAAGTTTGGTACTTTTTGGTTGCAGCACATATTTTATTCAGTTTATGGATATATATTTTTTTTTTTTCACTAAGCTCAATTATGTCTTCCCTTGAGACCAATGGTTATATGTGTTCCAATATCAAATATACTGTAAGTCTGAAAGTACAATTGCTCTTAAAGGGGAAAATTAATTTTTTCATGAATAATGAAAAGATGAATTGACTCCAAATTTCCTGGCCACCCCACTGGACCCTGTTGCCATGATACCTAGCCCTTCTGGTGTGGACGTCCATACACAGTACACCGCAAATACACAGCCCCAGTGTGAGTATCCATCATAATGCTCACAATGGACAGTGGCCACTGGTTATGTAGCTGCACTGACCAAAGAGAGTGCTTGCCATTGCAAGCATTATGATGGATACTCACTCCGGGGCTGTGTATTGCGATGTACAGACTGCGATATTGGCAGCACTAGGCATCATGGCTACTATGTGCAGCAGAATGGTGGCCAGGATATTTAGAGTTAGTTCACTTTTTTATTTTTTTTTTAGAAAAGTTGAATATACCCTTTAAAAAGAAAGAAAAAATGCAACTGAGCTATTTTAGCAGTCCTGCTTCATTATACAAGTAAATTAGAAATTATGCTTTGAATGTACCTACTTTTGAAAAATATTACAATAGATGTTGATGAATACATGGAAACATAGAGAACATAATTATTCATGCCTTAGTAATGAATGTCAAGAATTATTCAATTTTCTTGTTCTTTGTGTAATTGTAAATTTTACTGTGATTGTAATTTTTAAAAACTCCTTTTCCTTTCTTTTAATAGGCAAAGGTAGTTAAATAATTAGACTTATAGGTATATAAAACAGATGGGGACATTGACATAGACTTACTTGCCTCATGTATGAAATAGATGTATGAATAGAAAAGTGGGCATTTATGTTGCTCTTTGGTAATACGTAGTTACATTATGGTCTTTCATTTCTTCATATGCAATCCTCTGTTCCTGGCCTCAAATCTGTGCATGTTTCCTGCACAGCATTCAAATTGCTTGGCCTGGTGATCTGCAGCAAGTGTCAGTGTAATGTTCAAAGAGAAGTATGGAAATGTTTTTTTTTTTTCTAAATTATACTAACCTAGGTGGATATAGCATTCACCCGAAGCTGCATCTGCCCCCTTCCGGTGCGCTGGGCTGTGGAGGGGGAGAGGGAGCGGCTGTCTCAGGCTCTCAGTGCCTCACTGAGAGGCTGAGCTAGGTGTCGCTCCAGAATCTGGGGTGGATCCCTGACTTTAAAGTCGGTATCTTCCCCAGCCTGCACTGGCTGAGTGGGCATCAGCCCGCTGTCAGCTGAAAAACGGGTCACAGGAGTGCAAACGAACTGCACTCCTGTGATCCACAGGAAAAGTACAGCCAAAAGAGCTTTGGCTGTACTTCTCCTTTAACTATACCCCAAATACAGGTTGCAAACACAGTGTGTTTGCCTACAGCAGATCGCATGGCACAAAACAACCGTATGATCAAGTTGCAGCGCGTTTCTAAAATTGGTGCATGCATTACTGCGATGAGATACGATTTGGGCTCATTAAAAATGCACCACACTGCAAATGCGGTGAGCATTCCTGTGCGATTCATATGCAATTCGTAGTGTGAACCTTGGCTTAGTAAA